TAATTATGAGAGACTAAGTTTAGATACATTGACTAGGATTATGTGGAGTCAAATAGTGAGGAAGAAAGATTTATTGGCGTATTCCAGGATATATTCTTATACACCAAATGGTTAGAGGGCCAACAAGAAGGTTTGTTTGTTTTAAGTTAAGCACAAAGCTACACAATGGGCCATCTGTGCTCTGCCCACCACGGGTATCGAAACCCGATTTCTAGCGTTATAAGTCCGCAGACAATACCGCTGTGCCACTGGGAGCACCCCAACAATAAGAGATACAAATTTACATTCATTGTAAGCCACTATTAAGGATGTTTTTAGTGGAAGAACGTTTGGGGAACGGTGTTTGTTTGTTTTTGAATTTTGCGCAAAGCTACACGAGGGCTATCTACGTCTCTAATTTAGCAGTGAAAGACTAGAGGGAAGGAAGTTAGTCATCACCACCCACCGCCAACTCTTGGGTTACTCTTTTTACCAACGAATAGTGGGATTGACCGTCACTTTATAACGTCCCCACGACTGAAAGGGCGAGCATGTTTTGTGTGATGGGAATTCGAAAATTCGACCGTCAGATTGCGAGTCAAGCGCCCTAACCATGTGGCTATGCCGGGCCCGGGGAACAGTGATCATTGCAAAATCGAGTTTGATGTCTTGCTTCATGTTGAGATCAAAAAGAAATTAAATTTCATTTAAACAGGAAAAGAATAACAGAGAAGATCAAACCTAATTGACTTACTAAGGACATAAAGATCGAACCTAATTGACTTACTATGGACATAAAGATCAAACCTAATTGACTTTTCACTATGATATAGGTCCAGCTTATATCTCTCTTCGGTTAACTTGTATTCAGGGTTACTGATGAGGAGTGAAATTCTCCGAAACTAATATAACCAAATAACACACGTTGATCAAAGCGTAGATTGAATTGGACCTCCCTTGAACTTAGACTTTGAAATTAAGCAATTTTTGAAATACTAAGTTTATTTATTATATCTGCTGTTGTGCGGCTGTATAATGTGTAGAACTGAATAGTGGCCATTGACGCTTTTTCTTTACTTCACCTGTCCAGTGTATATGTTTTTTCTCATAGTAACTACAAAGCACGTTCACACCAACAGTATGTTAAATATAATATCATTATTGAAACTCAACATCGATTCACTACAGTGAAATCTGCCCTTACTAGTCTGTCAACTTTTTTCAAGGATGTTACGTACTATCTGGATGAAGGAGAGGGTGAGGATACTGTGTAATTAGATCTTTAAAAAGATTTTGATAAGGTGTCACACACAAGATGAGTTAAGAATATAACATCACTGAGAGACTGGGGATAGGTTCGTGACTTGGATTGTAGGATGCATAGTTAGACGAGAGAAATCAAAAAGTTGTTAATAATTGAGTCCATCAGACTGGACCCTTGTTAATAGTAGAGTTGCTCGGGCACCAGTGCTTGGATTTTTTGCTTTTTATCATTTAAATTAATGATATTGATAGGAGTATAATTAATAAATTAGTAAGCTTTGCAGATGACATTAAACTCTAGTATTTCTAGCTCTACTGAGGATGTTGAAGCACTGTGGAATGATAGTTGGTTAGCAGAACAAATATTTGGCATAGACCTTTTATGATAGTAAGTGCAAGGTAATGCTAATATTAGGGTTAACGTAATTTAGATTAGATGGTTATGCAGTCGAAACATATTAAACCGCATTATTAATGTAACTTATCAAAGTAACCACGTAACATACATTTAAGATTTATTTAAAAACACAGTACAAGTTTTATAAAATATTAGCAATCAATAATTAATAAATAGTGCCTGGCAAGGACTTTTACTAAACATTTCAGTCTTAAACTAAAATATTCAAAGAAACTGCAACGTTACGAATACCAAAACACAACAAACAATAACAATAATAAAGAATTAGGAAAAATAAAACTAGAAAGAGAAAAATATAATTCGTATACTTACTAAAAATAACAATATCAAACAATGCTCAAAATAGCGTTAAATTACAAATAATAAAGTGAGTATCTGCAATGATCTTTTTTTTTTTTAGAAGTCAAATATACTTTACGTCTCCCTAATCTAACTCCTCCCCCCCCCCAACAGGTCTCGCTGTTTAGGCCGCGATTTTTTTTAATTTACTGCCCCCCCCCCCCAGTCTGCGGACTTACAACACTAGAAATCGGGTTTCGATACCCGTGGTAGGCAGAGCACATATAACCCATTGTGTAACTTTGTGCTTAACTTTAAACAAACAAACAATCAATTTTATTTACTTGCCAGACCAAGAAATTACGTTAATCAGATGTCTAACAACTTAGTATTTACATAATATAAGCATTTATGAATTTTGTATCTATAAGTCACCGCTAGGGAAACCTTGTATTGATTTTTTTATGATAAAAATGACTCATATATTATTTGATATACATTGAGAGGCAGGTAAACTATCGTTTTTAAAGCAAAGAAAACTACAGCCGATAGAAGGAAAATACATGAACGATAAACAAAACCATAACTAAAAATAAAATAGAAATCGCTACCTCACACATTCACTAGTGTAACTGATGAAAATTATCTTTACAAATTGGGTGGATAAGTCAGTCGAGTTACTGAAGCGGTTCCATGCTGATAGTAACAAAGTTAATAGAATTTTAGAGTGTACTGATAGACATTGATTACAGGTCAAAAGAGGTAATTATATCTACAAATCGCGAGTTAGGCCTCACTTGAAATACTGTATACGGTTGTGGTACACTTTATGTAAGAAAGATTATCGTAAACTTGGTTGATTCTGGGGATGGTTTAAAATTTCTCGAGTTATTTCTTTTGTACTGGAAAAAATGGTAAAGATGTTTGTTTTGAAGTTTAAACGTTTATTTTGAGATCGAAAAGTTAAAGGCTTCTGTTTTCTTTGTGCTGTATTCTGAAGGCAATAAGATTAGTGGAGCACAAGTTTACGATTTGGAAAACGACAGATTCTTAAGGCAGATTTATTCTTCTAATAGTAATAGGGTGTTACCGCCGGCATTGTGAGGCTGGCACTTTTCAAACATTTAAGAGTGAAATAGTTAATTTCCTAAATAATAAAGGATGCTGGATTGAAGGTTTTGCTTTTTTTTCTCAGGGACAGATTAAAGAACCAAATTGCCCCTTGTTGTACTTATGTCAGGTTAAAAAGACTGTTTTAAACACGTGCATTGAGCCTGATCAGTATCTGTGTTATAAATCAATAAAATTGTGAAAATGCAGACAATTGCAATGTATAGTCACTTATATGTCGGTAAAAAAAAAAGCAACTGAGTAATTTGTTTACTTCTCAAAAAATGTGCCATACTCAACCAATAAATAAAACATGTCATACGTGAATATGCAGAAATTTTAAAATTAAATGCTTTCAACAGATTTTGTTTTTGGTAATTCTTAGTAAATTATTGTTTGCAATTAAGCACAAAGCTACACAAAGGGGTATTACTTATTAGTGCTGTAACCATGACGGGTATCGAAACTTGGTTTTTAACATTATGAATCCTTAGACTTAACGCTGTACCACTGAGGCAGTTCATGGTATAATAGAAGATTTTATAAATATATCATTTTAATCACTAATCTTGGAAATCTGTACGTTTGCAAACCCATTCTAAGAAGAGGTAAAAAGGGTGCCTTATTATTATGACTATCCCAAGCTTTAAAAAATAAAATAAACATAAAGCAAATATATTAATACATAATCGGCGAGAGCGAAAAAGATTCAGTTTAGGAGGTTTTTTTATGTGTGTGTGCAAAGAGTGATTTTAATTAGGCTGTCTAAATATCGTGGGTCAGGAGGATGGTAACCCTGACGTTTTATTACGTATGGACGGTATGGCACGTGTACCACTACACCGTAATCGTTGCTAAGTGGAATGTGTAAGCCTTAGCAGTGGAAGTAAATTTGTGTATTTAATCATATAAAATATTTTTCGCAGTAAGCAATTCTGGACATTTTTATGCATTTTCTTTCATTTTGCATTCTTTTACATCACCGCAAAATAGTTTTAATCAGATTCTTAACTACTGTCAGTACTGAAGCTTCACCATTTGACAAATTTCAGATTTTTGAATTGATTTTTTTATGATGTTGTTGTATAACGTAGATGATTCATGATAACGTAAAAAAGTATGTAGGAAAGTGTCATAGTGCATTTTACTTTTAGTTTTAACGCATTAATCTTTTATTAGATAAGATGTGCTTTTATCTTTTAATGACTATTCTTGCAAAGTCTTTTTTATATATAGTTCTGTTGGTTCCGCTTTCCACAAACAATAAATATTTATCAAGTGTCATTCAGTGAGTATCATCAATCAATTTAGTAAACCTAAAAGGCTTAGGCCACTTTCAAGAATTTAAGCTGGAAATGGTTTGTAATAACTATTTATCACAGACATTCCAAGCCCAACAGATTCAAAATCAAATATAGTACTTTAAAAGTCTGCTTTTAGCTCAAGTTATGAAATTATTAATTGTCATTATAGTATACTATAAGTGGTTCTTTTCGGTACTCCATAATTTTAATACTTCATTGTTATTCTTACTACAAGTGGACCAAGATTTAATGTAGTGTACCAAAAGAAAGCATATTAAAAGTCTTGTACAAGTTGGTAATTACCTTCTTATTCACCAGTTTAAAATATGTATAGGCTGATTCCATACCATTGTTAGTAAGTGTTCTAGTTATTGACATAACTAACAGCATGAGTCCTAAAACTGACCCTTGAAAATCCTTGATATTTATGGAACTTTTACTACTCAGAAAATTATCTTTTGTCATTAGCTTTTGTTTTCTACTCTATCAGTTTAAGCCAGTTATCAATATCTAGTGTTAATTGTTTTCACTAATATGTTATAAATATAAATAAATATATATATATATATATATCACATTAACTTATTTGAACTATTTTGTGTATTGATTGTCAAAAGGAAAGTATGTTCTTTTCTATATTTTGATAGTTTGCTCAACATCTTTGGCATCTGGTGGGTTTTTCTTCAAGGCTGGTTGCTATTACTGTACTGCCGACTACCAGAAAAAGTTTGGAACTAAATGTGCAGCATGTGGAGACTATGTTGAAGGAGAAGTTGTATCAGCACTTGGGAATACATATCATCAAAGATGTTTTGTGTGTGCCAGATGCCGGTAGGCTATAAAATAATTTATATTCATTTTTTTTAAATTATTTTTGTGATAATATTTTTCTTTCATAAAACTTTACACAGTTCATAGTTTGCACTGATGTCCAGTGCATGCTAAAGCAACTAAAGTAACCCAAAATTGAACTAATGTTTTATTTTATGTCTTTAAGTTTTTAATATTATAGTGAAAAACTTGGAACATTCAAAGACTGCAGGTTGTACACAAAAGGACAAACAAACAAGAACAAAAAATCTCACTTATCTGCATTAAATTTAGTGTGCACTTTGAACTTTCACATAAAAAAGTTTTTTCATTTATTGCATTACTACTTTTTATTATTTGCTGTGTCATTATATTCTAATAACTAAATAAATCAATAAATCTTCTGTTTAATTTACTTATTGACCAGGTATCTAATTACCATTAAATTATACAAATTGCAGTCAGAAGCAACCATATGAAAGATATCAACCACCATGTTTCATGTTTAATTATGTAAAAAAAAAAAAAAGGAAGCTGAACCCAGATTATGAAACATGTTTTAGCATCACATGTTAATTATATAAAATTGGTCAGGAACCAAAAAGCTATACTGTATATTAATTTACTATCAAACCCAAGTGTACAAAACAAAGTAATCAGGGCTTAATGTATGAGAAAGATTGTTCTTGCAGGTAAAGATCCAGCCTATGAAGCCAAAGCATTAAATATGGAAGCTACATGTATAGCTCTTTTCAAAGTATGTAATTAAGTATAGAGAGGCATGTCTGTGTCATTTTAGTAAGCTGTTATTAGCATGATGTTTTATTTCATACTTATGATTTTGGATGTTTTTTCAGGAAAGTTTTTCCAACTGGAGAAAAAGTTACCTATACAGGAAAAGAATGCTTATGTTCAAAATGCATCCAGATACCTATTGTATTGTCCAAGACAGAAGAACAGACATCACTAGTCACTGAACAAAGTAAATACTTATATTTGATTTTTTTTATAGAGTATTTTTGTGTGGTTTCTTTTGATAGCTTACATAATTAAGGAATGTATGGAACATGAGAGAATTTTCAATATTATCTGACTATATACTTTTCTGACGCCTGAAAACTTAACAGAAATCAAAGAGACATTTCAAGCATTCTAATAACAGAAAATTAAAGAGATATGTGTTCCTACTTCTAACACCCAACTTTAATATAAAATAATAAACATAACATGTTGATGTAGTTCTTTCACTGTATCAAAAGACCACTCTTCAGCATAAATATCTCTAACGTTATAAACATTCCTATTTACTGAAGTTGTCTAGATGAGGTTTTAGACAACCTTACAAAGTTATGAACTTAGTAAAAGGTAACTAAATGTACTTTTAGTATCTTTAATAGCTACTAGAAATATATTTGAAGAATACATTTTTCAGTATCTTCTTTGGGCTGAGTATGGCCCAGCAGTTAGCAGGTCCATTGTTTGTGTTCCATTACTATCAAAAAACAATATTGTGTACTGCACTCTGGAGTAGTGGGTGCATTATAAGGGTGACAGTAAATCCCACTATTCAACTGTGGGTGTTGTTAACCAGCTGCTTTCACTTGGAGTTTATCAGTTCAAAATTAAGTTGGCTAGTGCAGGTAGCCCTTGAGTAGGTTTGCACAAATATCCAAAAACCAAAGAAACAATGATATTTTCTTCAAATATACTCCTAATAGCTAGTAAAGATACTAAGAGTTGTATATTTGGTTATCTTTTAATAACTTCATTACTTTGTTGTAGTATTACTTAAATTCTTCTCTAAAAACTTCAATAAACAGAAATACTTGTATTATTATAGATTTCCATACTGAGGAACTGTTTAAATTTTGAAGTTGGAAGTAAGAAAATATCTATTTCATTTTCTCATATTTATATATATACAGATAATATCTTGTTCATTTAAGAAACTTCAAGTAATTTTTTTGTTGGGGTAGGATTATGAAGGTTGTTCCTCCCTCTGTGTTTGATAACCTTCAAATTTGATAACTTCAGAAGTGAAAACACTAAACAGGTCGTCTGAAAGTAAGATCAGCCTTGTGTATTCACTTCTCATCTTAGATTTGTGATAATATAAACTTTGTCATAAATAAAGCTATGATATAGAATTTTCTGACTTTGCTTGTGTTTGAAATTTTAAATAATTTGGAATAATTAATAAAAAAATATGCGACCAAAACATTTTATTTGTTCAAAACAGCCAAGTTAGAATATGGGGATCAACCATATGAAAATGGGTTTACTTAGTTTGGAACAGGGTGGTGTAGCTTAGATGTTATTCATTTCAAATAAATTGAACACTGACACTTAAAGTATTACTGATTATCTTGAACAGGTTAAAAGTTGTAAGTGATTAGAAAATGCTCAAATACTAGCTAAGTAAGTTATAGGGTACTAATAATATTAAAACCTTCCAGTCATGTTAAGCTGAAAGAACACATTGATTATAACTCTTTTAGCAGCATAATGAAACTAAGTGGATCTAACTTCAAAAGCCTTTTACAGACTGCATGACATTCAATCACAGCTTTTGAAATTTTTAAGTTCTGGTCAGTCATACAAAATAACTGGATATTGATGTAAGTAATACAATCATTGTTTACATCTACCCTTATCAAATAAAATCTTCTAATATATTATATTATGGGATGCAAAAAGAAGAATAAGAACACATAAGAATCATACAAGTTTTTGTTATTTCATTTGCTTATAAATACTAAATTCTCTGAAATTTTGTGAATGGAATTTTAAACATAATTTTAGTTGCTCTTCAGATTGTATTAGCCATCATGTTCACAAACTTCTCATAAGCTTATAATTCAATGTACATGAATTTACTAGAGTTTTTTTTTAGCTTTTGCCTGGAAGTATTATCTAAGTTTGTTATGAATAAAATATTATGATGAAAGATTCCTGTGAAGCAGGACAAAATAGGAAACATCTGAATTATATTGTAAACACGAGTAGTGATTGATGTTATTTCTCACCCAAGGTTTTCATTGTTGATAGTCTGTTTTGAAACTGGGTGTGGTGTTTATCTGAAGTGCTTTCTGTTATATATATATATAGTTTAACTAAAGCTAGAAAATTCTGTGGGTATATGTGCACTTGTTGGGTGTGGCTTTCATTCTCATGTAGTTAAACATGAAGGAATTCTTGTTGCTCTTAAAAATTTAATTCACTTTGAAAGCAAAGAATTTCCACCTAATGTGAACAAATTCAAATAGTTTAGCATAGATTCTTGCATATATCACAATATTATCAAACCTTGTGAATGGTGAATTAATTTTACCTGTATTTTCTAATGTGTAAAGGAGGTAGCAGAAGGATTGTGAAAGCTGTTAAGTTCTGGTTGACAGATCTTACATGGTTGGATCATGTTTTAACTTTTTTTTAATAATCCTCATTCAGCTGCAAATATTATATGAAGACATTTTTTTACTCATAGACTAGCGTCACAATGATTATTAATGAATGATGTGTAATGATTTATTTTGGGCAGTGTAATGAGCTTCATTCAGACTATTTTAAGTTGTTAGCTCATTTTTAACCTTCACGTTCAAACAACCACTGTTTCATTCAGTTTTTACACCATCTAAAATGACTTGTGTGGGTATGATAAGAACATCTTTAGTTTATTAATGATACCATAATAATAATTTTGCCTTCCTTGATATCTTTATAATTTTTTTATTAATGATACCATAATAATAATTTTGCCTTCTGTGATAACTTTATAATTTTTGTAGTTATATTAAGAATAGTGGGTCAGATAATTATGAAAAAAATGTCACCTCCCTACATTTATTTGACCATCATAAGGCACTTTATAAGTTTACAATTCAGATATTCAGCTTGTTAGTTTTACTCTTTTGAAATTATAATTGTTATTTCTGCTAATATAAAAGAAGTCTGTCTCAAAACGTCAGCTTCTAATTAATTAATTTATACCTTAAATTCACAAAATCCCTAAACTCTGTTTTTTTTAATTTGTCTAGGTTATATTTACACACCTTGGTGACCATTCTTGATGAGTGAAATAAAATATGTCTGTAACTGTTGAATTTCAAAAAATCAGTAAAAACATACATGTAAGGATCACACCATTGGCATAACCTTGTTTTCAAATGTGGAAAGGACATTTTCTTTAGCTTAGGTATATATAAGTGTAATTGTTGAAAAAAAAAAAGTCCTTCAAAAAAGTGTGGGGATGTGTCCCCAAGAAAATTATGACTATGGACCACATTTCTTCATGTAAAATCATTTTTATCCTCTATCAACAAATAGTTAAAATAATTTAATGTTTAGTAGGGTAATAAACTAAATTATGTAAGTACTTTTAAAGTCTACAAAAATTAAAGATCTTCTAACTAAATTTACCATGTGACAATAGTAAAGACCAAACCAACAATTATTTTAACAAAAAAATTACAATGCACTACTGTTACACAATTACACAGACAAAAGAACTTTACTCTTTAAAACATATTTAAGACAAATGGAATATTTAAATAAAACATAAAATCTGTATAACATATATATCTTGATTACATTGTTAGAGTTAATGGAATATTTAAATAAGACATAAAGACTGTATAATATATATATATCTTGATTACATTGTTAGAGTTAATGGAATATTTAAATAAGACATAAAAACTGTATAATATATATATCTTGATTACATTGTTAGAGTTAATCTTAACATTTAATTAAATTATCAATCTTAAACATTTCATGACATTTTGGTAAACTGATTTTGGAGAGTCCATGTTAATTCCAAGAGGGGTCTTAGTGTGCTATTTGCTACACTTTCAACTATTCAAGTCCATTTACAGTAACAAAAAATAGTCTTATTTCTTCAAGTGGGTGTTTTTTTATAGGTATTTGATAAATATTTTGTGTTGCTTCTTTTTGTTGCTTTATTATCAAATTAGATACAATATTGACGATAACTACAATTGTTATATTGTAATGATAGGAGCTACTGCAGATACCAAAGTTTTCAGAATGTATTGCATCATTTAGCAAGGAGATATCTTTTAAACATACATTTCTACTGTCGAGTAGTGATCACTGGTAAAGTAAATTATGTGCTCATTGTGCAGTATACAGAAATGAAAATAGTTATATATAAACATAAACATATATAAATATGAGATGCATACACAGAAATACCAAACAACAAGTAATGGCAAGAAGATGGTGAATTTATTAATGGTACAAAAATTATCACAGAAAGTGCAAAAGAAATGCAAATAAGTAGTACAGTGCACTAGTTCTTTTCTTCACATAGAGAATTACGTTTTGTTTTCATGCTACCATTCAGTTTATCAATGTACAATTGTGGAATATTGTCACACACTTTACCAACAGGATATCACTCTACTGCATTTGGTGTGTCTTTGGGATCATTGTCTTGCCGGAAGATGAATCCCCACCAAATGAGTAATTTTTCTGAGAAATTGCATGATGGATCAGAACCTGTCTGTAATTGTCAGCCATTAATATTGTATGTATCATTGAAATCACTGGCTGAGATACAGCCTCAAACTTATACTGATCCCTCACTTTGCTTCACTGTAGATGTTATACATTAATTATTATATCATTCTTCTCTCAGTACTTGAACAAACTGTCGTTGATTATTGCCAAACAATATGAACTTGTATTCACCTGTAAACAGCACAAATATCCAACTTTGCTCATTCCACTGTTTGTGGTTTAATGTCAATTTCAACTATTTGGTTTGCATACCTCTTATCAACAATTGTTTTCAACCAGTTACACATCCATATAGACTACTTGAAACTAATATTAATCTTATTATTCTCAAGGTAACATTCACACATGTATTTAAAGCAAGGTTATTGGCAAAATCTGACCATCATTTATCTCATGAAGAACATACCCCAAGATACTTAACATCACTTATGGAGAGTTTTTGTTTTCTACCATGACTACTTCTGTTATTAACAGTATCAGTTTCAAATCCACTCTTCAATTTCTCATGCAGCTCCTACCAAAATGCGGAGCTTGTTTTAACTTTTTATGTGGTGTATCCTGCCAAAACTTTGATTTCTACATGTAAAATTTCAGCCAAAATTATATTCACACTTCTACTGCTACTGACTATTGTATGACTGCATGTATTTTTATAAGCATTATACTGATGTGGCACTTTCTGATTCAGAGTAGAAACGATCAACACTCTGGTGCATTTCATATTCACATGGTGTTCCTATAGTTTTATACTTTTTTGCATAGTTTCCATAATTATTTCCAATAATATATATATATATATAAACAAATTGTAAAATAAAAGTTATTTTTGCAGAAATAGAAATTCTTGCCAACATATATAAGCAATTGATTTAATATTTAACATAATTTAGCAATATATAGTTATAAAACTAAAACTGCTTGTTTTCTATCAAATAAAAAAAGGCTTTATGCAAAATAGAAATTCCTGCTTGCATGAACAAGTAGATATTTTGCATGTTTAGAATAACTTTTTCAATACTTAATAAAAAAAAAGAGAACTTTTCATATCACCCTTAAACAAATGTTTTGCTTGCTATATTCAAAATAATCACATGGAATTGTAATTTTTATCAGTCAGTTCCTGTTAACATCATGTGTTTAAATGTCATATTTCATTGAAAGACAAACTGTACCTTTAAACATGTTCAACAAGTCAAATATTGTCATTGCGTATACTACAGTATTAGTATATGATGCTTCATGTATGACATTTATGTTATATAAAAAATATATACAATTCTTATTTAAATTCTATAGACTGAAGTGAATGTAACTGTGAACAATGAAAACAGCTCTATTAGAATTAAAAACACAAAATAGTTTTGAGTCAACTACTGTTGATCATACAAGACAATATTGTATTTAAAATTCATTAATTTCTTTCTCTTTTAAAATTATGGTAGTCACTGATACCATGACACAAATCTTTGTTTGCAGCTTTACAAATCAGTTGTGGCAACTGACAAATTAAATTTGACTTTTGAAATAATTCACGAAATATGGACTGAGTATGATCAACCATATGTGGCTACACAACTGTAGTGCATTAGAGAACATAAATAATTTCTTGTAATTAAAGAATAGTTAGCCACCTATCATACCTTTCTTTGGTGATTACCCGCTAGACTCAAAATGTTACAGGGTAGTATTATAGAGTTGGTTGTGAAAATTACTGGTATATATCTGAATTCTATGAACAGAGGACAGTTGAAATTTGAAGAAACTTTTAGAGTGTAAACCAAATTTTGTTTGATAATAGATATGTTGTTCAGCATAAAACAGAAATTATTTCAACCCTATGACTTCATGCAATTACTGACTATTCCATGCTGTTTGTATTTACTGTGCATTAAATATCCTTGAACATTTTTGTTTCTTGAGCTTAAGTTTCTTTTCTTTTTTTTGGACACCAGGATGTGCAGCATGTAAGGAGGAATTAACTGAGGGACAAGCTTTGATTGCTTTGGACAAACAGTGGCACATCTGGTGTTTCAAGTGTGCCTCATGTGGTGATGTCCTTCATGGAGAATATATGGGAAGGTCAGGTTTGAATGTGAAATCCTTAAGGTTTTTGTATGATACTTCTGTAGCTCTGTTCAGTTTGGAAGATTAAAGAAAAATAGCTTTAGACATATAAAGTATGTTGTGTTGAAAGATTACATGAAATTTTTCCATGTTCAGACAGAAATTATCTCTTTCAGTAAGACTTAAAATAAAATTATTGTCTGAATGCAAATGGTTTTGGCTTTTTTTTTTATCAAGAAGAGTGAAGCCAGGAGTTTTTTATATTCTTAAGCACATGATTGGATGTCATATAAATAAAATTATAGATCAAATATAAATGAGTAAATCAGAAAATTGCCTGACCTTGAGCAGAAAGGTAATATTATATCTTTGTGCTCATTAAACTTGATCAAGCTGACTAAAGAGTTTTTATAAAGTGAAGCCTTAATGATTGGGCTGAACCATGAGTTATGGTTTGTTAAACAACATCACTTAGCCCTTTTCTTGTTTGAGTTACGTCAACTATAGTTTATTGCATAGTTTAAAGCACATATTTCATTTTGTGCTATTGAGTTCAATTACTATTTTACTGTTACATCAATAAACCTACTGTTCGTGTTCCAGTTACAACATTTACTAACAAGGCATCCATTTGAAATTACAAAAGCAATTATTCCATAAATGTATGATTCTTCTAAAAGTTGAATGCATTTCAAGTTTATAATAACCTATTATTATGAATGTCTTACATAATTATCTGATACTATGTTTTAACAGAATGATAATGGCAGTTTAATTTCATGTAACCTTTATGGTCATGTGACCACCTTTTCGTTAACAAGCTCTAAGCAAGTAAGAATTTAGATACTCATGCATGTGCTAGTTGATGTGACTGATGTTTTATGTTTGTGTATTAGATGGCTGATCTAGAGATGTAGGTATATATATATATAGGTACACTGATGCCAGTCTGAATAATATTTTTTATATAATATATTTTCCAAACAATATGTTTGGTGATTAGCAGATTTTATATAGTTTTTTTATATTAGATAGTTTCAAACTGTACTTTGTTACTTTTTCTATTTCAATTTTGAATGACTTGTGGAACTCGTATTTTTTTTTTTATAATTGAAGATAAAATGTATAGTTGATTATATTGTAATGGTCAGGGTGGGGAATTGGCACTTGAATTATGTAAGTTCAGTTACTAGAGTACAAGCATCAGAAGGCTAGTATGAGCCAGGAATTCTAGGTTCAACTCTCAGTCATGGCAGGTTTCTTTACATCCTGATTTATTGGTGCTTCTTTAGTGTTTATTCCACCCCTGATGGAGATCTGAGCTCACATGTGATAAATTAAACCAACTGTATAAAATCCTCGTTCACAAGTTGGTGTGGTGTATTGTGCATGTGATTGTGTTAATGTCTGGATGGAGGTGTAGTGTTGTATGTTGATGGTCTAGAGATGTCATGTTGTGTGTTTACACTTGAGGATCTTGTATTGCATGTCATGTTATAACCTGAGGTGCTTAACACACAGATCAGAATGGGGCATGTGCCCTCCACACACTTTGTCTAGTTAGTGCACAAATGCTATTATTAACAAGTACATTAGATTGACTTAGATTTTGTTTGCTTCCACACATTCCAACATAGTTAGACACCCTGTTATAACTAGGTGTTAAATCTTTTTGAGTATGTATGTGTGTCATTATGTAATGGTTAAGATAGGAAGTTATATGTTTGCTACTTCATTTCTGTAGGGTAAGTAATGATATTATTATGATCTGGGAGTCCTGGGTTCAAGCCCTAGTCAGGACATATTTTGTAGCATCTTTATATGTTATAATGTGTTTTTTTTTTCAATAGAGATGGACTCCCATACTGTGAAAGAGACTACCAGAAATTGTTTGGTGTCACATGTGCTCACTGTGATAGATACATAGTAGGAAAAGTATTACAGGTACATGCTTATTTTTTGGTTTGTACACATATTTTAGTAATTTGTAAACAAGTAAACTTTTCTTTCTTTTAATACTGAATGTAATCACTGAGCAGAATGGTAAGGCTGGTAGTGTGAATGTGAAACTTGGAAGAAAAAAATCAATATCATTTTAAAATTGTGTGATTACATATTCCATAGTTCAAATATTTTAAGTTTCAGTGATCTATGAAAGTGAATCATAATCTGTTAAAATTCTTGTTCATAACAGTTTACCATAAGTCAGTGTTTGGAGCGATTGAACTTTTCTATAGGTTGACAGCAATTAATTACTTCAGTCCCTGGGACCGACCTTGTAACCATTTTGAGCTTATTATAGTTTTCATGCTATAACTTTTAAATTAGTGAGCATATGTTCATGAAATATGGCAGATTATTAGTAAGTAAACATTGCAAGGCTTTTGTATGCAAAATATCAGATTTTTTAAATTAATTTTTAAGATTTTTAAATACTTTTTTTCTCATGCCTTTTTCCTTTTGCATGTTGACTGTCCAATATGCAAAGTAATTTTGATTTTAAGATTAAAAATACTTTTATGCATCAGAAAAATTTCGAATTTCACATGTGAAACTTTATAACCTCCAGATAATTATCAAACTTTTTATCTGTTCTTTTCGCCATTGAATCTCTGTTCGGGTTCAGTAGATATGACTGATCTTGTAACCACCATAAAAATTTGGAAATGAATATAAATTATGCTTTTTTTGTTCTAGAATGACTATAGATTATAACACAAAAACCCAATTATTGAGTCTAAATAGCTTAAATCTTATAACATTATATATTTATATGTATTTATTATTTTTATTATATTGACCTTTCAGCCATGCCTGGCTAACATTACAGAAGTTACAATGACGTGGCACACGTGCACTCATGTTGTCGTATCCAAGAATATAAAACTGACCTTTACAAAGTCACCTGTCTTGGCTGTGTTTTAGTGGACTAGTATTTTGTAAAATACAGTCACATTTCAGTTATAATTCATTATATATGTATACACTTTTTTACTATTTACAAATAAGTTCTTAAACTAGTTTTTCTTAAAACATAGAACAGTAAAGTATAGCAAACAATCATATCTTCTAGTTATGGACTTTCTACTCTTTTGCTGCTTGCAGTAGGTTGCTAAGCCTTTTAAAATTTGCACATGGAGGATGTGAAACAAAATAATTTTTTAAAAGTTTTATATATACATTTTGAAATAACCAAAAATAATAAATTACTATATCAATACCATAGAATTCATACTTAGTAACTAAGCTGTGTTTGGGTCTAAAAAATATGAAATTTAGAGCTCACTAAAACTTCACCTTACCTTTTCGTATATAAGCTTTAAAATAACGATTTTGGTGCCTGAATAATTCTATTACACTGAGAAAGCCATTAGGGGACATTCTGAGCTTTTGATTGGTTATTGATGTGTTGTAGACAGAAGTAAGTGTACGTAAGCATGTCTGTCCAAAAATTGAAAGAGGTTGGCAAGGCCACTGTGTTTGATTCAGTAAATGTAGCAATATCTCAGCAAATAGAAAAGATAGAAGGTTTTTATTTGGTATTCTAGCTTGTCAATATCAGTAATTTGGGTTTTGTATTTGACATCAGAAACATCTAATTTGAACCAGTGCTGCATTCAACATCCCACATGAAACACAAAAAAAATCAATATTTAGATGTGTTTTTTTTTTATATATATACTTTTAAAATAAGAAATTAAATAATGTATAATACTAAAATTTGATTTATAATCTACAATTTGGTATCAAACTTTTTGACATAAGTTCATAAAATAGTAGTTCAATAAAATTTTGAATGCAAGTCAAGAAACACGATGACATGGCCTTTGACCCGTGTGGATAGGGTTAATTGCTTTGATTTACATCCCAATTACATTTGAAAGCAACCAAAAGGGTTGCCCTGCATTTAATGCATTACTCTGTAAAGCATCCAATAAGATGTAAAGGAGCTTTTTAAAATTCATATACATATTACAAACTGTGATTGGTAAACCTGACTGTTTATTAAAATGTATACATTTGTTTGTTGCATTAGTGCTTTGGAAGCTGATATTTGTAACTGTATAAATCTTTAGACCTTCTTCTTACCTCTCAATTTGCTAGGATTATTATCACAATAATATTTGATTAACAAGAATGTGTACAGTTTGACCAGGTTGTAATAGAAAAGTCCCCCGGAATCTCGGGACACTGGGACAAACTATCAAAAAACGGGACTGTCCCAGCAAAACCGTGAGGTCTGGTCACCCTACCTGTTATACAGCCCTGTGCTAAAACAAACACTTTATTACAATCTACCAATGAAAATAATGTAAAAAAACAAGTAAAGGTTATTACAATATTTTAATTGTTCATATATATGTAAAGTATGACTTTGGAATTACCTGTATGTTTAATATGTGTGTGTGTAGCATTGAGTGAGCTGAGTAGCTCATTTTCATGTATCTACACAATATGTAATGCTTGGCAGGACTTTCTATCAGAGGTTATCAGGCAGAATAGCTCAATAACTTTAAGGTGTTAACTTAGTTGATACAATATTCAAAGAATTAACACAATTTACTGTTATATTTCTGTAATTTGTTATTTAAAAATTTATGACAAATGCACAATTCATTAGTTATATTTATTAGTCATATTTGTATTTAATAAATTATATAAATTAATAAATAATATTGTTAATGCTCCCTGAAAAATCAATTATCATACTTGTGTTATATAACTGTTTGCAACAAGTAGTTTCTCTGTGATTTTGAATAATAAAGTTTTTTATTATAATTTCCATGAATTCAGGCTGGAGATAGTCATCACTTTCATCCAACATGTGCTCGCTGCACCAAATGTGGAGATCCTTTTGGAGATGGAGAAGAAATGTACATGCAAGGTCTGAACTATTTAACATGGAGATTGACCAAACAGTCTCAGTTTTACAAACGTTTATTTGTTTTACTGGCCAAACTTAACTGTCTTAGCAGGTCGTCACAAGTAAAGTATCTCTATATCTTTAATAGCAAAATGTAGAAGGAATACTTTTTATAATTTTTAGTCTTAAGTCAGATTAAAATGGTTTGTTACTTCTACAAACTATGTATAAGATAAAGATGTTTTTAAAAATAATAAAAGTATCTCATGGATTAAAAAGGTGACATCTACTTTTTGGTTATATAATCAAGACTAGTCTTAAACCCACATTATGTAATTGAGACTAGTCTTAAACCCACATTATGTAATTGAGACTAGTCTTAAACCCATGTTTCTGTTTATTTGAATGAAGGTAACCTTTTGTAAATCCAATTAAGAGGTTGGATACGAGGCTGAGAAAGATATAGTTCAGCTTAGGCATCATACAAAATGTTGTGAAGTCTTGTGCATTTTTTGGGGTCACTGACCATTATATATATATATAAGCACCAAGAGCTGGCAGGAGAATGGAGGTGGGGATTAGTGAACAATTTTTAATTGTTGATCCACTTCAGTAAACTTGTTCCTGTGGCCTTAATAGAAATATTAATATGTATATATAGTATTTTATTTCAATCTGTTTATGACTGTGTAGTGTAGAATGCTTAATCTTCTATTGCTGATAAAATTGTTTGGTAGAAACTAAGTGAAACCACTTATCATTTGGACTTAATTTTTATTGATTAATAAGCTTAGTTGTTGAAGATTCAATTTAATGTTAGGAGGAGCAATTTGGCATCCTCGTTGTGGACCAGCTCCAAATGGTCAAGAAGAGGAAAGACCAGAAGAAGCTGTATCTAATGGACATGGACAGATAATGCAGGTTGTTATAACTGAGACATTATATTAATTTCTACCCTACAATATCATTATCAGAAGATTGCTTAGTTGTATATGGATATGCTGAAAGATTGAAGCTTTCATTTGCACAGTGTTATTTTAGTTGATTTTAACATATTAATTCTTTTGGTGTATTTGGTTAGAATAAGGCCAAGTCTCATCCACTTAATGATAAAAAAATTTTATTTTGTCAGTAATGTTTTCTTCAGGCTATGATCACTTTGACACAAGTTTTACGCCCCTAAGTTCAAATACAATGTTCAAGAAAATTTCTTGTTGTTAATATACCTAACTCACAAATAAATGTTTGATATGGAATTCCATGATTAATTGATTAAGTTACTAAATAGACATGATAACCCTCACTACTAACACTGGTCTGAAACACTCACTGAATTCTCAACATAATATTAAAGGACAGCAAGGGACCTTTTGGGCTGTTCTATCCACTAAATTACACTAAACCCTTAAAAATCAACCTTAAAACCAGATCTTATCCTTATTCTTCACTGAATTTTCACACACTGATTACTCATATTTATAATGTACTGTTTTACTCCAAATTTCATAAATTTTCTAGCTTATTACATTATTATGAACTTTCTGAGTCTTCCAGGACTGTTTTTATGAACTTTTTTAGATCTAGCAGCACCATCATGATTAGCAGCTCCCTCTAGCAAGCTAAATTATACCATTGAAAATTTTCTTGCTAATGCAATCATCCTGTATGCATGTCTTTTCAAAACAAAACATGCAAGTTTTGTCCGTCAGACTTAGTTTTGTATATAATCTTCATTCTGATCATGCATGATTTTACTGTTTTCATTATTCCATGCAAGTCATAAATGGTGTAATGTGTATCATTTAGTGATGTTTATTTTTAAGTGTACTACAAGTTGTATAAATAATGTCAAGTCCAGTTCACGAATGATAAAAAGATTATTTTATTTCTTCTGTAATGTTTGCTACTACTGGCTACAATCATTTTTAACACAAGTTGTAGGCTTTTCCTGTAGCTTTAAATGCTCTTCTAACAAATTTCTTGAGCTGAAAATACAGTCTTACACAATCTTAAATGGCACACAGAAGCTATTACTTTTAAGGTGTGTTCATGTGGAGTGATGATAACGATGATACAGTTATTTCCTGATTTAATTAAATAGTACGAAAAATGGTAGGGATTTCACTGTTATAGACTGAGTGTGGCAGTGTGTAGTTTTCTCTTTCTGCTGTACCCCCACCCCAGTGGCTCAGCTGCCAGTCTAAAGGCTTATAATACTAAAAATTGGGTTTCAATACCCCTAATGGGCATAGCACAGATAGCTAATTGTGTAGTTTTGTGGTTAAGTACAAACAAACAAATTTTCCATAGAAGAAATGGATAGGGTCATAATTTAAGCTAAGGATTGTTGAACTGTACAGCTTTCTTCCAAAGTAGTGAAATAGATTTTAGATGTGCTAGCTGAGAGTTCTGTGTTTAAGTCCTCATTTGAAAATATTTTATTATGAAGTTTTGAAATTCACTGATTTTACAATAGTAGATTTTTAGTACTAATGGTACATCTATCACAAAAATATTATGAACCATTTAGTGTTTTTTTGAAAACAAAGTCATTATAAAAACTAATTTATTATGTGCTATCAGCTTTTCTCATCATTTGACTGTATCATTTGAGTGTGTGTAAGTTTGCCTTACATCCATGACCGTGAGTATGATAACCCAATATTTATTTACACGAACATTTTATCAAAATTGTGCATATGATCAGCTTGTGCTTTTCATACCTACTACTACATTGATCTCGCGTACTGAGACTGTGAATGTAATCCCCTCCCATTTTTCTCAAGTGTGAGATTCTAAGTGATAATGCTGTTCATAGTAGGATTCATTATTCCCATGTATATATATAATTATGTTGAGTTACAAAATCATCTTTACTTAATTATGGAAGTTTTTGTTTTCTGTGGCACCTTCAGAGTTGAGTCTTATGGGTTTTTTTAGCTTATTATATATTCATATCCTTCAATCCATTATATATATACCTTTCTTCAGCCATATTCTCTGGTTCACTGCACTTGTTTCTAACTACAAAGTATGAGGGACCTCTTTGTAAAACTTTGTAATGTTCATCAGCTCCCATCTATTTCTGAGAAACATTTTAAGAGCTGTCAAGTGTCTATCTCTACATATGTTATGGCAAATGGTTGGGATGAAACAAATCCTTAATAGTTTCATTTTGAAGATCGACTTATCTACATTTTTTATAATTACTGTATTATGTAAATTAAACAAAAGTGAAAATGATAATCAAACAAGTTAACATTAGACCTTTGACTTAACTGCCAAATTACTGGTTTTAACTTAAACTTCATTAGGTACAAACACTTCAATGTTGGGTTGAATTATGAATCTCTCGTGAAGAGAATTTTGCCTCCAGTAAAGTTGTATAGTGACTTGAGTTTTTGTGTTTTTAATTCATACTAACTTTTTATTCATTAAAATAATATTCCATGTAATTTGATATTTATGGAGATCAGATATGTAAGTTTGATTTGCAGAGAAACTTTATGATTCTTATTTCATGGTGAAACTATTTTGAACAACTGTAACACTATTAATTTTTATTGCTCAAACTTTCCATATTTTAGACAGTTTTATTAATTTCTTTTCAAATTTTGACATATTGCTGATGGGAAACTTTTGTAATGTGAAACATCATAAAACTAAGTTTAAAGTTATCAACTGTACAGTCTTATAAATGCATGATTGCCTGAGACAACAACATAAACTTTGTGTGATTTTTTTTTGTTCATTTGTAGAAGTCTAATGTTTACAGTTTTCTCATCAGAATAAAAATGGAACATTATTTCACTTTTAATGTATTTACATATTGCATGTTTTTTCAGTGATGTCTGACATACATTTTCACCTTGCATGACCTCATGATTTTGCATGATTTTCTTTGAATTGCTCCATGCATGCGACACCAGAAGCCACCCTGTTATTCAACTACTAGTGGTTGTGATTGCTGCCTTTCAAGACAGATCAGTATTGTAAGCTGCAACCAACATTTACAGGTTATCTGAAGTTGAAAACGACAGAGTTGGAAATATATATAAAATGTAAGAACAAGACAGTATCTTTATATTGTGCCATTGTAAAATTGTTGCCCTCTTCTTCCTAAAGGGATTATAGCTAAAACTTTTTGTGGATGTAATTAGATGTACTCCTCTTTTCTGAAATGAGATAATTGAACTATTATAAATTTAGTTATTTTTAGTCCAGAATATGCTTTTACAGCATCCTTTTCTAAAATCGTTTTTGTATTTTTCATTCACGTTTGATGGAACAAGGACTACAACATTACATACACATACTTATGGGTGCCTGAGTTAAATTTTCATGGTAGCAGAAATAATATTTCCTTAAGTAATTGAAATTTTTATTTTACCCTTTATATTAAAAATCTCACTGGCAACTACTTTTGATATATGCTTTCAAGAATATTTGGTTTTTCTTTAAATAATCTATATGATTATTCACATAAAAATACATTCTTAAAAGCTTTGTCGTCTTTTACAAAATTGAACACAAACTCAGAAAAAACAAAAGATTAAATAACAACAAAAAAGGATCATAGAAAAATAAATTATATCTCTATCTGTCTGTCTTTCTTGGGCTGAGTGTGTCTTGTTAGTTAGTGCCTTGGATTATGGATCTGTGGGTCCATCATTTACATCTTGTGAATGCCGAAAAACAATCATGCTCCACTGTGGTTATATTATAAATGTGATGCTCAAATATCATTTGTTGGTCAAACAAGAATAATCCAAAAGTTGCTAGTGGGTGCTGTTTAATAGCTGCCTTCCCTCTACTCTATCAGTTCCAAATTTGGGATGACTAGTGCAGATAGCTGAAACAAATCAAACAATCTGTCTGTCATAAATCCTTTGATTATTTGCTGATTTTTTTGTAGATCACCAAAAGATAAATTAAAAGTACCCGTGAAACCCTTCCCCCCCAAAAAAAATTGTATTCTTAATTTTAAATTATTTACTACATAAACTAAAATATTTATGTTAGAAATTAAAATGCTTTCAAAATGTCTGGATATCTTTTACAATAATGTACAAATATGTAGCAAATGACTTATTAATTTAAGCTTATATATTTTATTAATTGTATATATTATGCATATATTTCTCTTCATTCAGTTGATCAGTTGATATACAATTTCTCATGACAACTTTCAAGAAAATTTGTGAAATTCTTGTTGAGCTGTGCTAAAAGATAGAGGATTTCACCATTAGGTCTAGAATGCAACAGAGATTATGTTTTCAATGTGAAAGGATAAATTACATTATCTTACCCTAAATTGTAAGTGAAGGGTAAGTTTTTCAATAACCACTTTCAAGATGATTTGCATACTTTGTTAACACTTTGACTGCAGCTGCTGTAAACTTGTGTGGAACATTTGCGAGCTGTACACTGTATACAGCACACTTGCATTCAACTGCCAAAGGCGAACTTTACCCTATATGGCGAATCAACAGTCAATGGATTAACCCTGTATGCAAGGGTGGAGGTCAAAGTGTGAAGTGTGCATGATATGACCTTTCACAGAATTCTAGTCTACATAATTTTATATAATTAATATCAGAGTTACTACTATTCATTTGACCATGCCCCCGAAGTGGCACAGCGGTATGTCTGCAGATTTACAAAGCTAGAAACCGGGTTTGATACCTGTGATGAGAAGAGCACAGACAGCCCATTGTGTAGCCTTATGCTTAACTTTAAACAAACAAATAAACATTTTACCATACATTGCTCATTTAGCAACAGTTTGTGGTAGAGGAGAGTAAATACCCGATACACTATACAGTGGCACTGAAAAAACTATAGATGTACATTTCAGAGGTTCTAGAGGTTATGCAAGTACAATATTCAACTTGTACAATGGACAAAAGTATTTTTATTCATCACACGAACATCACTTTGTACTCCAACTTGTCTGAGTCAGACTGGCATTTCACATATATATCTTGAGTACATTTGATTTTGTGTGTACAACAGACTTGTACATTTTACTAAAAGCTTTTCACATTTCATATACATACATATAGTAAATTTTGAATTATAGTCAATATTTATTAACCTTTATGGGGCTGATCCAGTGTATTGACTCCATGCACATATGGTTAATGTACACAAAATGTTGAAAGATAGACTGTGTTCAACAGTTTAATAGATTTGATGTAACCATTAAGTTTAGATGGAACAATAGTTGATCACTTTTACTCTCCAGGTTTGAGGTTCTTTATTGCAACATGATTGTATTAACTAACTAACTAATTAAATTTAAGAAGAGGTCCTGTACTTGTTCACATACCTGCCTGAGCTTTTACTGAGAAAATTGTTAGAAATACAATGTTCCGACAAGATACCTTACTTCTGCTCACATACATAGCTATTCTCCTTGTTCAGTGCTACCCTCTATTTGCAAAATTTTTTAACATGCCACAAGTCTTTCTTTCCCATGCACCCCTCAGTTCACATGGTTTAACTGATTCTCACATGTAAATTATCATGCGACAAACCTCCACCAATAGATGCATCCCACACACGTGACTCCCTCTATGCTATCCTACGTAACCATCACTTCTCGTTTGGTAGTGCCTTTTATATAGTGCTCTCTTCCAATTTTGAATTTTCATAATTCCTCCTTCTCGCCAATTATCCTTCCTTCTATTTCCCACCTCTATTCCAGATCTGATCCAGATAGACTTCTATGTCCAGTTCATGCTCTTCATTGCTATATTGCTCGCAAGGCTTCCTTCTGTCGTAACTGTTCCCACCTATTCATTCTTTGGCAACTATCCTCTGTTTGTAATCTCTCTCTCCTTCCATCCTTACCAATTGGGTTGAGCTTTTAATTCGATTGGCTTATTTTTCCATGTATTCTTTTTCCCGTCAATTATTCTGGGTGTCTTCACATCAGATTAGACACCTTACTTTTTCCATGACATCTCACCTCCATCATTGTTTGAAGTAAATTCTTCAAGTGGGCATGTGGACCATTCTACATACTAAATTTCTCTAATTATCTGCATCCTGTTGCTGTTTCTTCATTGTCAGGTTATGGTCTTCCACCTGTTGCCATTCTTCAGACTTCAGTGCAACTATAATTGGTAAGTTTTCTTTCTTTCATTACATATATTTTTCAGGGGCCTATCCTATGTTTTGATCTGGATCCTGCTCTGTGGTGAGTGGTGTCTGTCCAGGTATACTTCAATCAATTAGATTGTACTAAACTCCACACTGTAAGGCCATATTGACTCCACATTCATAATTCCCATGGCTATTAAATGCACACTGTTCTTTACTATCACATATACTAGAGATGGGGTGCTCCACATGATTGCTTGTAGGTTATTCCTTGCGATATATTTGCTTGATAAATATGCCCGATCCAGAACATATTGATCTATGGATTTCATGGGTAAAGCAGAAGAGAATTACTGCCCATCCATGCCATTCCTTAGATTGAATAAATTGGGTTTGGTCTTCTTTTTGAAATAGGGTTTTCGTGGTCACCCATTGCAATATCTCCAGTGTGTACGTTCCTCCAGACTCTACACCACGTTTTTCTCCCCCCATTTCTTCCAGTGGAGTAAGAGGGTCTTTACCACTTTCCAGTTCCAAGCTGCTGGAATGGTGGACCATGGAGGTATACTCATGATTGAGAGCTATACAATATAAACAAGGACGACTCCATTCAAATGAGAGTAGGACAGTGGTGTTCTGCTGGCGTAGTTGATGGAAATCCTCCAAAAAAGACACTCTATCTCTGCATGGGCTTCTTAGGGGTGATGTTGTAGCTTTGGAGTGAGCCATCATAATGAGTGGGATCTCTTGTCCTACTCCTGCATGGAAGTCAGTTCCCGGCAGTTGAGTTTTGGATTTACAGCTGAACCAATCACCATAAGTCCTCACACGTGTTCAGGGATGCCTGGCATCTCACTTACTTTGCCTTGGGTGCAATACTTTGGTGTTGTGGGTCATGGTGGATGCACTTGTTGGTTGCTCCACTTCTTCCTTTTGCACTTATCCTAGATGTCTTTATGACAAGAATGTTACTGCATTTGAGATGGTTCAGTCTGTTTGGTCTGAGTGGGATATCTATGTAGTTAGGTGTATGTGGGTGAATCTATTTGTGGAGGTTTGTTTCATGATAATTTACATGCAAGAATCAATTAAACCATGTGAACTGAGGGGTATGTGAGAGTGAAAGGATTGTGGCATGCAAAAATATTTTGCAAATAGAGGGCAGCACTGAACAATAAACAAGTAAGCACCTGTCAGAAATGTTTTTTCAGTGTAGGAAAATTATAACTTCTATGTTGTAGCAGCAGTTTTATGGTTCACTGATGAATGGTGTTTAGATTGCCAGGGCCAGTCCTCGAAGTTTAGAGAGAGAGCCAATCATCACAGACCCTAGCCGAGTTTACACGTACAGCTACCTGACTGCAGAACCAACACAGGGATATCTGCGCCGACCAATTCAACCTTATCCGCCCAAATCCCCTCAGTTTCACAGGCCTCCAGGTATTTTTCGTTAAATTTAATCACGCCAATGGTCTCAAATAAAACTTACAGTGACAAAAATGATATGTGATTTATGAATTTGAAATATTTATTGTTATTTTCTTATGTTTTGTGATCACAATTTGACAATTATTTGTATAAATTTTTGTGGCTAATTTATTAGCATATAACTGTTATATAAAGCAGTTTATTTTAACACTTGTTGTATGTTGTCCTTAATTTTACACTATGTTTTACTGTCATGTACTAAAACTAATCACAGAGGAAAAATACATTAAAAGCTAGATATGTAACTTTATGTTTTGCTTCTTATTAAATGTTACTAAAAATTGTTGTATTATTCATCTCATTTAATTGATTTCTTGAGTTATAAAGTATATCCATGAAAATGAAGCATTAAGCCTAAAGTATAGTTTTTATTATAAAGTTAACTAAGTTGTACTAGAAATATGGATACTCAGTGGTATCAAAAATGACAAGAATAATTGGGAATAATATATATACATGTGTGTATGTGTATTCTTCATTATTTCTGTACCTCTATACAATAGTATCTTACAATGTATCTTAATTGTGAGAAAAATAACTGAATTTATTTGTGATTAAAAGGGATCTTAAATATTGCAAACTAATGCTTATGTCTGAATGGTGTCATGCATCGGTTTATGAAATAATTGTTTCATTTCCTGTGTAGTCATTAAATAATAATGGTATAGATCATAACTTTTTTGTTAACAGCTTACAGATTTTACTTGTGTTTTGTCTGTTTGTGACATTTTTATATTGTAATATTTTAACTATAGTCACATCCTAATTCCAACAATTTTTACTTAGCTTAAGCAGGAAAAAAAAATAGTTATTATGTTATTATTTATGATCTATAGAATGGAAGATTTCCTGCTGGCAGTTATACAAACCCCTAACCAGTGAGAACATGAATTATATTAATTCAAGTTCTTTATTTTTACAAAATAAAGTTTATACTGGTTCTTCAACTCATTTTAGTAGTTTTCTCCTTCCTGTAATGACGCAGTTCATTTTTTAAGATGATTTTTTGAAGTGAGATTTTTAGTTAATATTATTAATAAAAGTTAATTGTTCACTCTGTGTCTACAGTAAAGCAAAAGAACAGTTGGGTGTTACCAGGATAAGTCATTCTGTGGCAGTAACTCTTGCAAATATCCCCAGGTGTGTCACAGTTGTTTAGATGTTACTAGTTTATGTAATTATTCATATGTTGTAATAATAAGAGAACTTTTTCAGTTGTTATATTTTAATTTTGTTTTATAGAAGGTTCAGGACGACCACGGATTGGAAGTCGAGGGCAGCATTCAAAACAAGGTATTTAAACATGCTGACAAATCTTAATTTTTGGTAATTTCTGAATATTGCTTTTGTACAACTTTCCTAATGTATGCTATAATTCTGTGCAGCCAGATAACACAAGTATGTACATGTATGTAAAACAACGAAAAGTTACAAAATTTTCACAAATGTTTGACAAACTGAATGTTTCACCATCTCTTCTTTAGATTAATTTGCTAAAAAAGCTTGTGTTTTGTGTTCATCAATGTGTATATTGCCTCCTAATTTTTCAAGGTTTACTTAAAGTGTGTTTAAATTTTTTATCAGCAAGGATGCTTGATAAAAAGTAGATTGTCCATAGAAGGTAACAACATTTGTAGATTAATTCTCCTTATTGTGTTTTAATATTACTCTTTTCTATTTATATAGCTTATAGAAAGTTTGAAAACTTTCTCACATTTTAAGCTGATGCTTTCAAAATTGTAAGGTGAATACTTCTAAAGCTGGCAAAGCATGATTCATTTTAAGGTGATGAGTGTGATGGAGTGTTGCAAGTAGGGGAGACCGGGGCTAGTTGTTACGATTTTTAGAAAAAAGTCCAATATCTAGCGAAATAACTCGATTCATACATTGAAACTGAATGAAAGTGAAAGATAAATATGTACTTTATCAAAATTATGTATTCTATATTGAATAAAATTGGTTACATAAAAGATTTTGTAAATATTTTGAACTAAAGTCAAGTGTAACAATATGCCCCGGATGCGGGGTAAGTTGATATAATAGGTGAGGCATGTTGTTATACAATAAAAAAAATCTGGAATATTTACCAAAATTAGCCTACTCTATCATGCTAAATGTTATAATAGGCCTACTGTAGTTTTCTCATAACATTTAGCATGTTAGAGTATAAACCTAATTTCAGTAATTATTCAAGATTTTCTAAATTTTAATGCGATATAATAATTGTAGGCTTAATAAATTTATTAATGATTACACCATAAAAAAACTTTTAAAATGACAATTCAAACATAATTATATTGTAATGAATTTATTATTGATTACACGATAAAATAAATCTTTAAACGTTATTTAAACATATAAGAATCATTGTTCCATGATCGAAAAACTTAAAACAAAAATGGTTATAGTTCTAGTCTGTGTCACAATCACAATTTTC